TATCATTTAACAATATAAAGACAAGAAAACAGTGCTTCTTAGAGTAATGATAGGAAAATATTTGATTCTCCCATTTTCATTCTCATGGTCCTGCCATACTTTCTTTCCTATTGCTCCAACAGGGCAAAAATTTGTCTGGCCCAAGGCCTTGGTGCTTAGTGTTTTTTTTTTTTCCCCCCTTGCTTAAAATGCTATTTGCTCAGATCTTCAGATGGGTGACTTGTGTCATTCACATTGCAGCTCAAATGTCCTTTTCAGACATGTTTTCCCTCGCTACTCTATTGTTGCCACCTAGTCACTATTATGTAGTCCTCTTTTATTTTCACAACTGAAATAATCTTTCATTTATTTACTTGTTTCTTTCTTTCCCCTCTAGAATGTTGACTCCATGAGAAAGGGAAGTTTGTCTTCACTGTTTGGCACATAGTAGGCTCTCAATATTTGGAGGAAAAAAACCCAAATTTTTTATAACTATCATTTTAGGCCCTAAATAAATTTATCAAGTTGGGTGAGCTCTTTCAAGGCTGCCTCAGAACTAACACATTAAAATGGAAATAATTTAATCACTTCACTCAAAAGCTACTTCACAGCTTCATTTAACACAGAAAAAATAACATTTTACTTTAACAATCTTTTGATGAGTTTTATTTCATATCCTCCAACTATCAGTTCTCAGTCATTGTAAGAATGTACCTATGGACTAGAGAGAACCCTAATTCTTCTCAGCAGCCCTCCTAGGAGGTTAGTTTCTTTAACAGGTTAGAATCTCCTCCTTTCTCAATGACCTATGGAACCACTTTATATTGTCAGTTTTAAGGTAAGCAGTCTGTTGGATATGCATCATCTCAGCTTTCCTCTCTATGGGCAATCACCTCTTGGACAGTATACACTGGTCAGAGTCCCAATATATTTTATTTTTTTAAAAAGATTTTATTTATTTATTTGAGAGAGAGAGAGAGTGAGCACGCATGAGCAGAGGGGGGGAGGGATGGGGGGGGAGAAGCAGACTACCCGTTCAGCAGGGAGCCCCCACATGGTGCTCAATCCCAGGACCCTGAGATCATGACCTGAGCCGAAGGCAGCTGCTTAACCAACTGAGCCACCCAGGAGCCCCAGAGTCCCAATATATTTTAATATTTATTCTGCAAATGGGCTTTTTACACAAATAATAAAAGCTCTCATAAGAAAGATGCTATTATTACATGTATTTACTACATTATGAGAGGGGAAAATATTTCAAGAAAAATAAGGCTGAGGGTTGCTGAACACAACACCTTCAAGGCATTTCCTACCATGGTAGATAATAATATGAAATGTCCAAAGAATTTTTAAACTATTTTAAGATGTATTTTTAAATGGCCTTATCTGTTTTTGGATCTTGGTAGACTGATGTTGAGAAAATAATACAAAGGTAAGGCTTTTCTTCATTGCACATGCCAATCAACAAGACAAAATCTAAGAATTATTAATAGAACTTCTACTACTGAGAGGTTGTGTAAGCCAGCAGAGCCATGAAATGGTCAATGTACATATATGTAGTTGGGAGTTGTAGCCCAGATTTTTAACAAGAAAATGTCCCCTGTACAAAATCTCTATGGCTTACTGCAATATTTATCTTTAATAAAAGTACTGCCCCCAATTTAGAATTTCATCCAACAAAGCTCATGTAAAATACTTATACAGTCCAGAAAAGCATAAACTGGATGATGACAATATACCTATGCCTGCTGTTTAAAAATAAGTATTTTTAGGGACACCTGGGTGGCTCAGTCAATTAAGCATCTGCCTTCAGCTCAGATCATGATCCCAGGGTCCTGGGATCAAGCCCCACATCGGGCTCCTTGCTCAGCAGGGAGCCTGTTTCTCCCTCTGCCTGCCGCTCCCCCTGCTTGTTCTCTCTCTGACAAATAAATAAAATCTTTAAAAAAAAAAAAAGTATTTTTAGTAATTGAGTCTATTAGCTATTATTATAAATCTTATTGTCCAGGAACTCATTTTTTCTAAGTAGTCAAATACAGCTTTTCAATAGGCAGTACTCAACAACCAGATTAAATTCTAAAAATGAATATCTACATGTGTTGTTTTGAACTTTTAAGAACAATTTCTTATGGAACAACTGCAGAAGAAATTCAGCCTATTTAACTCATAATCAGTTAATGAGAAATACCTACTGCATTTCTGTTCTTACTTTCTGTTTCTTACAATACTGGCAGATATTGTAGACTCCCCGTAGGGAAGGGAACTCTGAAACCTAGAGGACTGTGTTTTGCCCTTTGAGAGGCATTTCTGCACCTCTTTGATCTTCATCAGTTGTTCCTAACGTCTAAGATATCTGTAAAGAGGCTACACTCACTCTGAGAGTACATGTGCATATGAAACCCAGGAATCAAGCAAAACTAAAATGTACCCTTGAAAAGTTCCCACAATCCAAGGTTATAGTTTTAGTTCTTTTTCTGGAGGACATGAAAATATCTGGAACACAACAAAATAACAGTCTGAGTTGTACAGATTATATAAAGGAATTCACCACAAAGGCTGGAAGCATCAGGCTGGTGAACTGGTAGGTTTCAAATCCCCCTTTAGTACTTATAAAAATGGCAGAAATCAAGACCCAAAACTACTGTAAATTTAACTTGGAAGTGTAAAGAACAGTATCAAATGTTCATTTTTCTCATTAGTTATTAAATTTAATGGTTTTGGAAAACCCAAAAATCACATGAAATTGTTTTCTTCCTCACTGAACCTGAGCCTGTAGTTTAAGTGTTTACAGAAGGAAATAAGTATAGGCTTTAACAAAATTACCAAATAAACAACTTGATCTAAAACATTTCAAATTTGTTCAAGTTGAGAGAAAACTAGTCCCATTTATGTTTTTAACATTCATGTTAGCACTTTCAATATTACTAGAATATCTCAAGACATTTTCAAAAATAAAGGTTAAATTAACTTATTTCCAAACATATAAAGATATTTTATTTTAAAAAACCCTTTGAAGTATCACTAGTACAGATAATACATGTAATAATACTATATTTTCATTTCAGACACAATGAATGTGCTACCAAAGCAGCACAACACACAGTACCATCCCTACTGTAAATGACAAGAAAACCTTAAAATCAGAGATGACAGTGTGCTGTATTTGCATAGAAGTGAGAGCTGACCCAAATGGGCAGGCATAAGGTGGCATTATAGACAGGTAGATTGGGATGCTAATAAAAGTGGTAGGTACATTTTGGTCATTTATACCTCAACAAAGCTGAAAAAAAAGTGGTAGGGGTAAGAAAAGGAGAAAGAGAAGAATTAAACAAAGGAAAGAGGTAATATACCACTATTTCGCCTATATAACGTTATCCATCCAACCAACCAGTTATTGAAACACTTAAAAGGAACTAGGCACTCTGTAAGGCTTGTTCGTACTTGGACCAAAGGCTAGCTTTTTTTTTTTTTTTGGATGTTCGCTCAGAAGTGCCATTTGATCTCAGAATGGAAAAATCTAATTAGTACTCACTGAATTCACTCCCACTCTTGGTCTCATCAGTAGTTTAAGTGCTCAGTGACTCTGAATCTTTTAAACTCTGGATCATTTGGTCCTCTAGTCATACATTCAACTCTGAGAGTCTCCAATTTACAGCTTCAAACAGCCTCTCTTGCTACATACAACCAAAGTAAGAAAATGGAATGGCTTGATGTGAAAAGCTGGGGAAATACACAGGCCACTGGAATGATGGAGCCGTGCTCCAGGTACAAGTTGGAGCTACATGCTTATCTCCCACTCATTTGATTCAGATCCAGAAATTATATTACATCAGTACCTTCTCTCAACCCTGTTCAATATAACGTGTGATGTTAAACACAATGTATTTATTGCAAAAGGAAGGACACTGCCCTTGTAGAAAAATGATGCCGTATGACAATGTGTACATCACTTGCGTCAGTTTCCTTTCTATAAAATAGGGATAATAGCTGCCTTGCCTAACTCCCAGGGTCACTGAAAGGATCAAATAAGATAGTGTACCTGTAAACTGCTAAACTATTATTATCACGTCAGTTGCTCCTTTTAGAACTTCTGAACTTTTTTCCGACTCACAGTTTAATTGTAAGGTTATTTAGAACATCCAGATACAAAACACTTAAATTGATAGGATTTTGGAGAGGACAACAAATAAAGGAAAATGCTGATAAAGATAATAGGTCAGAACATAGGAAGTTAGTCCCAGAATTACAATAAAGTCCTGATGCAAAACCAGGACAGTTACGTGCTTACTCTTTGCAGGCATTGGGCAGTTCCCCTAGCACACACAAACACTAAGCTGTACTGTGCTACTTTTAGGTGAATCACTGGGGACAAGTTGAGTCTGGAGGTGCAAGGGGAGGGACTTCCAACCCTGATGATCAGGCTCTTCCCCCATCCCTTTAACAAACACTCCTCCTACTCTTTGTGCCTGGCCCAGTTAATGAAAACTATTCCTGGTAAGAAAATGGCTGTCAGAGATTTCTTTTAGGGAGAGTCTTGTAACTATGAGACACTAGTAGCATACCTATTTCTTCCCCCACCACGAACTATTTTGAATGGACAGTTCAGAATCAGAAAAACCAGGTTATGTTTTGTTTTCTCTCAAGACTCACAGGCCTCACCCCCACAAGCTTCAGCTCTCCCATCTGCAAAATGAAGAATGACGGCGCCTGTCAGCTTCATCCCGGGGCCACAGAGAGGATGAATGAGACAGTTCTTGAAAGGCGCCAGGAGTGGTGTCTGACAAACACCAAGTCCATCACTGTTTATAAAGTATTATGATGAGTCCCGTTATGCCCTCCCGCCTCAAGTGAATCGCCGGGTTGGAAGTGACACCCGCAATCACTGAAGAAAGCAAAGCTAAATCCGGACGGGCGTATCCGCACCGAATCTATTTCGGGGTGAGAGGCGGGAAGCGACAAGGGGCCCCGGGAGAAGGGGAGAGGGGAAAGGAGGATGGATGGAAGGTCCATGATGAACCTACCTGTTGTTCCGGATGCTGACCAGCACGCACAGCACCAGCTCCAAGTAGGTGCGCAGCACTTCCAGCCAACGGGTTGAGAGCTGCAAGGCCTCGACTTCTTCCCCGCCAGTCCCGGTGTCCGCGCCGCTTCCGTCGCCCGGGCCGCCGCCACCGCTCAGGTAATTCTCGGCGGCGAACTCAACACGCAGCTCTCGCACGAACCAGCCGCACTTGCGCATGAGGAATTCGAGCCGAGGCTGCTCCGCGGGGGAGACGCGGAGGCAGATGCGGAGCTGGGGCCAGAGAGCAGGATAGAAGAGGCACTCGCGCCAGTGCGAGCAGGAAGCTGAGGCCCGCAGCCGGTCCGGCGCCGGCAGGAAGGAGAAGATGTGCACGATCAGCTCGCTGGGCAGCGACGCGGCGCCTGCCGCCTGCCCGCACAGAGCCATCCGGCCCCGCCGCCGGCTGCCAGCCCCCGGCCGCCCCCGCAGTCCCCGGAGCAGCCCCCGCAGCCGTCGCAGCTGCTGCAGCCGCAGCCGCTGCCGCCGCCACCGCGCCACCCGGGCGGCCCCGGCTCGGGTTCGAGCTCCCGGTGGTCGGGGCTGCGGTACTGACAAGAACAACAACATCAATGACAAGGAAGAAGGGGGCGGAACCGTCGTGGGTCTTGGCGGAACCAAGTGCAGCAGAAGTTGCCGAGAGGGGGGAAGGTCTCTGAGGGGGTGGCTTCTAGATAGCCAGCTTCTGGCCCCTTAAACTGTACTCACGCGAGTCCAAGGCCTACACACTCAGTAACTTCAAAATCCTCTCTTGTAATGTTTAGGGCCCAGGAAGCGGCGGGACTTATCGTAAAGAAACGGCAGACCTCCCCGCGCTTGGAGGCGGAGGCAGAGCAGTGGTAGAAGCTGAGTTTGACGTCAGCGGTGGTGGGAGGAGCCCTGTGAGGAGGAGCGCGACTTCCGGAAGAGGGGAGCGCCTGGTTGCCGGTAGGGAAGGGAGACGCGGCACGTGACTTTTGACGCACGCAGGTCGGCGGGGCGGGGTGGGAAGCGCGGTTGGTGCGGGCGCTAGGCGGCTCGTCCCATCTCCTAGTGGCGGCTGAGTCCCATCAAGTGTGTAAGTCAGTTAATTTGGACGTTCAGGCGGTGGCATTGGCGGAATTCGGGTCAGTGCGAGGGGTCTCGCAGTTTTTCAGTTGCTGGGCCGAGGACTCAGAGCCAAAGTCAGCATGCACGGGGTTTCTGGGCGGACCCACCCGCGCAGGGTACTGTTAAGAGTTTGTGAGAGAAAGAGCCACTAAGGAGACGGAGCGGGCGGACTCGCGGGCTAACTCGGGCGGGCTGTGTCGGGAGAGGAGAAGCGCGGCGCGGGGCGGCGGAGAGCACAGACCGAGGCCTTAGGTGGACATTCATCACTGGTCCGACCGTGCAAATGACCTCTGCGCACACCTGGTCTGTGGGGAAGGAGTGAGGAGAGCGCCACCCGTTGGATTTTGAGGGAGAGAGGGAAGAAAAGGCAAATGAGTTCGATCTGTGGTGGATTATCAGCCTCTTTTCCGGGATTTGAGGGAGGCTCTGAGTTCCCGGTTCTGAGACTTAAAAGCACTAGTTGAAAAGAAGCTGATGGTTATGGTAAAGGTTTTCTTTAGTTTGGAGCCCGTAATTTCAGGGAAGGATTTTTAAAAGTGTCCCTTAACTTGATCACAACTTGGGAAGTAGTTAGCTGGTTGTAAAGGGCGGTGAAGTCAGAAAGGAGTAAGTGATTTTTATGTAATAATTGAGGATTGCTTTAGTGAGGCTGCCGCTCCAGAGCCTTCACTATGATCTTGGAACAGCCTTGTTCTCTTAGTAAACACCAAGAAACTGTTCTAAATATTTTTAGCTCTTTGAGGGCAAAACTCTCCATTCATGCTACTTTGATGGCTTTTGGTGCCTTGCACGTAACATGTTGCCAACGATATAGTGTTACCTGTGAGTTCTCATCAGCTAAGTACCTGTAAGAAAAAAAGCTATCATTCTGGTAGGTCACTTCTCTGAACCTCTGCAAGTGTTCTTTCTATGTAATTATTATTATATCTTAATGAGTAACGAATACTTATGGCAACAACAGTGAATTAGGAAGTTGAGACTTGGATTTTAATTTTTTATTTCTTAAACTCATTGAAGTATTTTGAAGTAAACCATAGACCTCTAGATATTCCATTTCTAAGTCCTTCAGTACGCATCTCCGTAAAAGCATGTTTAACTATATAACAAAAATATTATCACACTTTAACATCTTAATGTTATTTAATATTCTAATATCTAATATTATAAGTCTTCATATTTATCCATTTATCTCCCAAATGACCTTTACAGCTGTTTTATCCAAACCAGAATCCAGTTAAAGACCACCCTCGTTTTTTTTTATGTATTTAAAGTCTCTGTTAATCTAGAATAGTCATTCCCCCAACACATTTTTTCCCCTTTGATTAGCTAAAGAGAGGAGACATTATCCTGTAAAATATCTCCCCTTCTATAATTTTTTGACTATTTTCTCTTGGTATTTAGCTTACCTCTCTAGTCCTTGAATTTCTGATAAAACTGGACATTAATGTTAATGGCTTGATTAAGTTGGTGACATCTTGGTCTCCCTCCTAAATTTATGCTTTATTTTTCTCCTTAAAGTAATCTGTAACATGTTATTTGGCTTCCTAAAAATGTCTAACTCCCCTATCAACCACTCACTTAATGCCCTTAATAATAATTGATAATTCTTGCTGGAATCATAATTTTATTAGGGTTTGCAAAATGATAGTTTCTAACTCATTTTATCTATATTTATTAATTTGCATTCTTCTGGATAGAAAGAATTTCTTTCATAAACTGGCAACATGTAGTTACTCCAAAATACAGCTTCTGTTGGAAAGTTAGAAAAAAAATACTTAGATGTTTTTCTTTTATTACCAATTTTGAAAGTAAGTTTTAGGGCCTCAAGGAGTGACAAATGAGTTTTTCTAGCTTTTATTTATTTTTTTAATATCATGTATTCATTGATTTTTGGTATATTTTAATTAGTTATTATTTTTAAAAAATATTTATTTATTTAAAGAGAGATAGTGGGAGCAGGGGGAGGGGCTGAAGGAGAGGGAAAGAGTCTCAAGCAGATTCTGAGCTAAGTGCAGAGCTGGTGGAGGGGCTTGATCTCAACCCTGAAGATCAGGACCTGAGCTGACATCAAGAGTCAGAAGCTTAATCCGATGATCCACCCAGGTGCCCGTAGTTATTTTTGAGTCTCAAATTAGATGCTTCTAGAGTGTTTCTCAAAGAATTCTGTGTGATTATTATTGTAATAAAAAAATTCCTTGAGCATTTTTAGTAGATGTTACCCTGGACTGGGTTGGAAAGTGAGGCTAGATTTTGATCTTTTTTGCTTTTGCTATGATCTAGCTAGGTGACATTTAAACAATTTGCTTAACCTCTTTGGGCCTCATTTTCTCCATCTGTACAAATAGAGAGTTTTGACAAAGTTCCCTGCAGCTCTGATATTCTCTGACTTAAGAAGACAAAACTTATTTAGACATATTTTACATATCATAAAATTCACCCATTTCAAGTATACAAGTCAGTGATTTTTAGTAATTTTACCAAACGGTGCAGCCATCACTGTAAATCAGTTTTAGAACATTTTCATCCCTTTAATAAGATACCTCGTGCCCATTTATAGCTAATTCCCACTCCTCAGACAGCCACTAATGCACTTTCTGTCTCTATAAATTTGCCTTTTCTGAACATTTCATATTGATAGAATCATACAATATATGATTTGTGTCTTCTTTCACTTAGCATAACATTTTTGAGGTTCACTCATGATGTAGCATGTGTCATGAATCCGTTCCTTTTTATTGCTGAATAGTATTCCATTTTATGGATTTTTTTTTTTTTTTAATCTACCCATTCACCAGTTGATGGATATTTAGTTCCCAGATTTCAGCTATTACGAATAACAACGTTTCTGTGAACGTTCATGTGCAAGTCTTTTGTGGACATGTGTTTTCATTTCTCTTGGGTAGATACCTAGGAAAGTGTATGGTAGGTTATATGGTAGTTCTATGTATAACTTTTTGAGACATTGTCAAACTGTTTTCCAAAGTGGCTGTATCATTTTTCTTCCCAGAAGCAATGTATGAGGGTTTCCAGGCTCTGACTTTTTGAAGATCTTGAGATATCCTCTGATGGATTTGAGATTATTTTTCCTTATTCTTAGCATTTTGCTAGAAACAAACTGCATTTTTCTTGGATACCATTAATACTTAGTTTTAATTATTAGGAATTGTTCCTAAAGGAAATAAAAATATATCAATCTGCTATAAAATAAGTCAGCTTCTCAGTGTTTTTTTTTTTATTTTTTACTTTCATGTTAAATGAAGAATGGTGGTAATACTATTATTAATGAAAAGCTAAGACATGAATTAATAAGATATGGTTTTTGCCTAGTTACCATAATAAAACCAAAAATTCCAGTGATGGGATACAACTTGTTTAATAAGCCAACATCTTTAACATTAATCAAATATTTATTGAGTATGTGTATTCTTAGCATGTTAATTTTACGAGTTAGACTATTTCTCTTGACATATATACTAAAGTATAAACTTTATGATAAACCAACAAAATTGACTTCTGAACAGCAGAATGAAATTGCATTTTATAATGTCTGAACTAGGATTCAAAGTGTGGGAGGAAGTACTGACGTTACAAAGCTCATAAATACTCAGTAGTACTAAGCTCCTGGTTCCAAAAGTGGCATATTGTCACTATAGCAACTACCCATGCTTATTTGGATCTGAAACCCAGGCAGTGAATGGTGGATAAGACTATAACATCAAGATAGATGTGTGCCCTGGTGGGTTGATGTGGTCTGATCTGTTGTTGGTCAAGTGTTTGTTCCATTTTTCTTATATTTATTATGATTGATTCAAGTTTTATGAAGTTATCTTAATTTGTATTAATGTGGGTTTTTTTTGGAGAGAAACTAAACATTTACTATTCTTATATTCTTCCTTTTCTAACATGCGAAGCTTGGTGCTTTTTCTTGTTAGGTTATTAAATATATTTGTACTGTAGCCTTTTCTCCATTTTTGTTTGGCAAGTTGTCAAACAGTAGTTATAAAAATATAACTTTTATTATGCTGAATCATTTGCAATATTATAGCAGAAAAAAACCCATGACAGATTTTATTTTAGCTACATCATAAAAAGATGCTTAAGACTACCAATAAGTGTGAAAATTGCCTAAATGCAAACATCTTTTGAAAAAATGTTTTTTTCTGAACAGGGTTTGGGTTTCAGATACTGTTGGCAAATAGAGATGACATAACTTCCTCCCAATTATCTCTTAGCATGCATCCATAAATTTACTTAGAGGCACGGGAGCCTCCTGGGAAAATAGAATTGGGAACCAGATTTCTTTCTCTCCACCCTTGTCTGATGGATTGGAATGGTTCCTAGTGAGGTCATATTACAGGAGAAAGAAGTGAAGGATTGAAGGGAATTTTTTATCTTTAGGGTAGGGAAAGTCTGCCCTGGTGAGCTGGCTGCAGGAGAAAGGATCAGTTTTTTCCCCCCCCGTAGGTGCACCATGTTGCTGATATCAGAACTGATTCTAACCAAGCCACTCACAAATTTGTTGTGCAAGTTTGTGAATTGGAAAATCTGTTTCTAAAAGAAACAGAGGCAGTGAGAGAAGAATTGGGTCCTGAGCAATGTGATAGTGAGTGGGGAGGACTGTAACTTACCAGAGGATGTTTCCCCCACTGGGAAAGTTGAAGGTTTCTAGATTTTCAGAAGACACTAAAATACTAATTTTTTTAAAAAAGAGGTGAAATGTCCTGATTGTTAGCTCATTCACATTAGGAATATTCTGTGGGCTACACAAAACCAGATTACCTGTAGAATACCAGGTTACAGCTTCTTTACCTGAG